CCGGGTAAAACTGTGCTATACAAGATTTTCAGCGGTTGATTTTTTTGGAAGTAGATCACCATGCCTTCCTTCTAAGGTGTCTCTGGGTGGATTCGAACCTCCAACCTTTCAGTTAGCAGCTCAGTGTGTTAATGTTTGCACTACCCAGGGATTCCATTATAGATGAATATCAGCCTGTAAATATTTATGCACATACATGTACAGGTATCATGACTACCCACGTTTGTTCAAAAATGGCTTCCTTTCTTCACGCTTAAGGCACATATTTAATCTCTATATCACACAAGGAACTTTATGTCTTCTAGTGTCACCTGACTTCAGAAAAAGAATTTCACACAGCCTTATGCACATTGCCAGTGATAAAGGAATGAAAAGGAAGATCGGGAAATTGAGAAGATAATTCACTCTAAAGCAATGTGTGTTCTCCTGAATTAATTTTTCTTTGGGAAGTACAGATTCTCGAAATTAAGCATTTAAGTTGGCAAAATATATCAGGTGTTTAAGGAGGGTAAAATTACTTTCTTCAGCCTATATCATATAATGACCATGTCCACGTGAGTGAAATAGTCATTTCTGACACTGGTTACAAACCCAGCCTCAAGCCATTGTGGGAGTTAATAGGTAGTTTTTGAGACTTCTCTAAGAATGATTGAACAACAAAACTAATAGTACAAAACAATCTCCTGATTTCACTTACTACTTATTAGCAATTACCTAAAGTTTCACTACCCTCTGTTCCAGAAAACTGCAGCCTCATAAACTGTAACATTCACAGCAAGGAATAGATACATTTGGCTCAAGAAGAACCATTTCACTCTGATGCAACTCGGTCATCTGTATTTGTGATGGGGATAAAGGAAGGACTTTTCTTTGACTTTGACCTCTACAACCAATCTCCTAGGGCCAGATATGGTGAAAATGCCTCTCCACGTCTTTCCAAGAGGACCTGGAACAATTCACACATCTTCTAATGGACCAGCTTCAAATAATTCCAGGTGACAATTTATTCACTTCCCCAGTGTTTCAATTATGAACTATGCAAATCACCCATTATTTCTTTTATCTACATTAAGGGAATCTTCCTCAAAGATAATGCGTTATGTGCCACAGAACAAATGCTCTCAGTGGTAGGCAGCTTCTAAAATGGCTCCCATACGCATAAACATTTACAGGAAGGCATACATATGAATAACTGTAGGCATATGTATGTACATGTTTATTTTCAAGTATAAAGTAAAGCACATAGAGGGCACAGTTATAGATACTTCCTAGACACAATCAAACAACTCACAGGATTGATCTACTGGGTTTGAGGGCTTAGGACCATAGTTTCGTGGGGCAACTCAGTCAACTGGCATAATGTAGTCCATAAAGACAATGCTCTACATCCGAGTTTGGTGAGTAGCATCTGGGGTCTTAAAAGCTTGCGGGACACCTGGTGTTAGAGCACTCAGCTAAACCACACCCGATTCCTGACCCA